GGGGGTGGCGGGGGGAGCCGTTGTGGGAGACCGTGGTCAACCATGGCTTGAAAGCGGCGACCTATTTCTGGCCCGGTTCCGAGGTAAACAAAGGCTCTTGGACTTGTCCTAAAGGTTATTGTAGAAATTATAATGAGTCTGTGCCGTTTGAGGAAAGAGTTGAAATTGTTTTGGAGTACTTTGATTTGCCTAGTGATGAGATTCCTGTTTTCATTACTCTTTATTTTGAGGACCCTGATCATCAGGGGCATCAAGTGGGGCCCGATGATCCTGAAATCACTGAGGCTGTGAAGAGGATTGATGGTCTGATTGGGAGGCTGATTGAGGGTCTGGAGAAGAGAGGTGTTTTTCAGGATGTTAGTGTGATTTTGTTGGGGGATCATGGGATGGTTGGGACTTGTGATAAGAAGTTGTTTTTTCTGGATGATTTGGCTCCTTGGATTGAGATTCCAAGTGATTGGGTGCAATCTTATACTCCGTTGCTCGCAATCCGCCCGAAGGGTGTTGACCCGAAGGACGTTGTTGCGAAAATGAATGCGGGGTTGGAGTCGGGGAAGGTTGAGAATGGGAAGCATTTGAGAGTTTACCTTAAGGAGGACCTTCCTAGTAGGCTGCATTATGCTGCGAGTGATCGAATCCCGCCTATAATTGGGTTACTTGAAGAAGGGTTCAAGGTTGAACAAAAGAGAACCGAGAAGAAAGAGTGCGGCGGAGCACACGGTTATGATAATGATTTCTTTTCCATGAGAACCATATTTATTGCTCATGGCCCTCAGTTTGCAAGAGGGAGAAAGATCCCGTCTTTCGAAAACGTGCAGATTTACAACTTGGTCACCACAATTCTCAACATAAAGGGTGCACCCAACAATGGATCTTTATCATTTCCTAGTTCTGTTCTTTTGGCTAGCCCTTGATATTTGTTATTTAGCAACAAGGTGTTTCTGGATTCTGGAATGGAATCAGCATCCCAAATTTTTTAACTGTTGCTCGCCGTGTGTGATCATGTGCAATGAGGTCATCATACTCATGAACATGAAGATGGTGATGCTTTTGCTTTGCAGATAGGTAAGAGTATTGGCTTGGTCTTAGAATCCCGTGATTTAGCCTTGACGAGAACTCAATTTCCACTCCAAGAACTGTCCCATTATCTCTGTAATTGATTAAAGTGGACACCAAAATGCTTTGAAAAATATATCATAAGGCAGAACAATATTGCTGTTTCCAATCTTGACATTGTATTAAATGTATCAATTGTGTGACTTTAGTGCATGACTAAATCAGCATCTTTGGAACTGAAGTTATTAACTGCTTTTATGACATTAAGTCAAAGGTTCTATTACTAGATCAAGCATTGTACATATGTCTAATGTTTTCCCCTAATTTCTTCTTTTGGAAGAAGGGGTCTTTGGGATGGTTTTCTTCAAGTCTTTCAGGTGATAATGATTCATTTTCCTATCCATAAATAGGCTACAGGAAATGCTGAATCTGCCTTCCGCATAGGGATATGTTGAGGCATGTCCCACGAGGGAAAGACAAAAACAATTCTGGTAATATATGAATGGACAAAAGGAAAGGAATTTTTGCTAGATTAGTGAGGTTTGATACTGAGTTGAAAGATTCAACGGGTGACTAGTGGTATATTATCCTTTGGTGAGATTAAAGTGGCAAAATACTTCATTACTACTAGTTTACTCTTTGTTTAGGAATTTCTTGAAGGTTCTTTTTTTGTTTTTTGTTTTTTGGGATCATATTCATATTAGTATCACGAGACTGCTGAGAGATGAAAAAATAGTGCGTTTTTCACCCTAAACAAATTTGCTCACTTGATTACATTTGAGTCATACATAGACATTCATTGACCAATAATAAAGAGTGTTCTTCGTTCAGCCCTCCTACTTCTTTAATGACCTTGTCCTGCTAAAAAAAAAATTGCATTCTAGAATTTTTTATGACAACAAATTTAGGAGAAGACAAATTTAGTGCCTGTTTGGTTGGAGCGTTCCCCATGAACTCAGGAAACAGTCCAAACTTATTTGGTTGCATATTGGTTTTGGGTTTTGGGTTCACTTCAATTCAAAATTAAAGGTTTTATAGACTTTACTCCCCCGCCCAAAGTTGTTTGTGTTCTAAGCTAAAACACTGTTTACAAAACTAACTTTAAAGATTCTCACCAACAATTTTCACTCATATTTTTTAAAAACCCATATTTATAATAATATTATTAAACGGTGGTTCAAAGTTTATTTCCTGTTCAGATTTTATACTACCAAGCGCTACAATTCGAACTATAAAAAACTCACATATAGGTTCAAACTCTAAGGTTCAAACCCACACAACTAGAATTATGGGCATGTTTGGCACACTGAATTAAACTTGGGATTGAACTAATTTATCTCAAGTGTCAATTTTTATAGTTGAATAACTAATATAGACTCTAAGAGGAGAAAAAATAATCTACTTTTTATGGTATTACCAAACCACCCTAGTAGAAGTATTTTTTTTAATAGCTTTTTATCTCAAATAAATTAAGTTTTTTTATTGAAAGAGTTTGATATTATAATGTTAATTTCTCATTAGTATTGAGTTACTTTAAGAGGTGGCACAATTTAATCTAATACTAGTACAGACAATACTACATCAGATCTAATGTAGTTTTAAGTAAAGTCTTATTCAATTCCGTTTAAGAGGGGGCAAAAGAAAGTGTTTGATCTAACAATGTCTACTATAATACAATAGTCAATACTACAATAATGTCTATTTGTGTTTATTAAGGTATTTTTTATTCCGACTTTGCCCTTTTAGTTTATTTTGTGCATGTTCCTTATTTGGTTTTTTTTTTTTTTGAGGTTCTTTTTTCGTAATAAAATTGTGATTTCTTTTTTCTCATTCTACTTTTTTTTTTTTGTTTGAATTTTTGTGATTACGGTGGGCTTAATTATTTTGCTATCAATGCATTTAATGTAATATTGATATGGTTTTTGAAAGTTTCCCTCCGCTTTTCATTTTCCAAACAAATATCGTGGCTGAAGTTCGTTTGTTTGAGGAGAGGACTGAATTGTTTTGCTTTTTTTGTCTTCTTGTCTGCTATATCATAAGTGACTGATTCTACATTGGAACATTTTATTTTTTATATCCTGTGTTTTTTATTTATTTAAAATTCATTTCTTCAGTTTTTTATCTCATTAAATCTATACCTTTAAATTAAATTTAATATATAAATTTTTACCTTATCTCATCTCGATCAATAATTGATTTTAACTTTTAAAATAACTAAACTATCCTTAAAAAAAATGGAAAAAAAAAACACTAAATTTTTTCAATATTATGCTAATTAAAAACTAATAACATAAAGAGACCCATTTGAATGGTATTTTACATATTTTAGAGGTCAAAATTATAAGTTTAAAGTTGTTTTTAGTTTTTTTATTCTCTTTTTATATTTTTATTTAAGAGTATTTTAGGTATTTTTTAGATTAAAATCAATGATGACTGTAGAAAGGTATACGTTAGAAACTCTAACACCAAGACTCAAGATTGAATGAGGAAAAAAAAACACGGAACAGCAACGAATTTTATACAAGTTCGGCCAAAAGATTGACCTACATCTTGTTTGAGCTATCTCACGAGAGCTTTTTCCACTATTTGAATTTGATTACACCCTCAGCCACTCACCGATTAACCCAAAATCCTAAGTTCTTGACCCAGAGAAATCCCTAGCCCCAAATTACAAAGAAGATCACTCAATAACAAAACCCAGAAACTTCTCAATACCAAACAAGACTATCGACAGGCTTTCTCTCTCTAGAACTTAAATCACCTCTCACATAGCTTCTCTCTCTATTTGTAATCTTAAGTTTCGTTTATTTCACCGATTTGAGTTAAGAATTCGAGTTTTATTACAGTAAAAAGCTCTCAAAAATAGTCAAAACTCTTACATAAAATCACGTCTCAACTCGAATTAAAAATTTAAATCAACAAACTAAATGGACTTTAAAAGAGGAAAACCACGAGTCGGTGTAGAAAGTCTTCCACATGTCACTTTCTTGTTGGTAGTCTCCTTAATTGAAACGATGCGTTTCAGTTCTTCCATCTCTTAAAAGACACACTGAGGGAATGTAATATCTCTTATACTCATTGTCGCTTTAGTGGGATTATCTCAACAATATAAATTTGGGTATTAAGGGTATGTTTGGTAGTGATTCTTATAGCTTAAAATTAATTTTTTAGTCATCTACAGTTGAAATTTGTGTTTGGTAAAAATCATAAAAAGTGATTCTTAAAGAATTTTTAAATAATTTACAGTCAAAATCAGAAGCAACCTAAAGACAACTTTAACTTTTAAATTATGCGACAATCACATTGAAGTACAATTAATGAAACTTTCATAATATCCATAATATTCTTAGAATCAATACTTATATACTTATAGTTTATTAAACACTCAACTGTTTTTTGTAACAACTGTTTTTTTTCAACACAGTTAACAATAATTTTTTAAAATCTACAGTACTATCAAATTGACCCTAATCTAATTTAAAGATATATATTCGATGAGATAAAAAATTAAAGGTATAAATTTTAAATAAATCTAAAACACATGATATAAAAATATAAATATCCCCTTCTACATTTGCTTGCTGGGTGGAGGAGTATTTGGCATTTTGCTTGTTGTTGGCGGCGTTTCAAGTTTTTAGCTGTGTTCAATTCAAAAGGGTTTGGTTCGTTACTTTTTCCCTTTTTTTTTTTTTTTCAATTTTCCGATCTTATTTTTTTTTTTTAATAATTTTGTTGGATTTTATTGTTCATTACGTTTGTGTGATTGTTATGTTTTTTTTTTTTTCCCTCATGGTTCATTATGTTATTATAGTTAAAATAATGAATTTCTAAAATAATGGAATGAATATTTATGTTATCCCTTTAAGCCAAGATAGTAGCTACACCATAATAATGAAAATGTCCATGGTTCAGTACTTTTTTTATATGAATTAGAAGTTCTGTTTGATAATGACTATATTAGTAAGTTAATGAAAATGAGCATTTTTTGAAGATTAATGTTTTTGTAAGTATTTACTTTTCATGATCATGCTTATAATGATACTTATTTTCAATTATTGTTCATGGTTATTTTATCATTAAGATAATGAATTTTTCATGTTTGTGTGATCGATATGTTTTTTGTTTTTTGTTTTTCCTTGTTCATTATGTTATTATAGTTAAAATAATGAATTTGTAAAATAATGGATTTGAGATTTATGTTATCCCTTCAAACCAAGATTAATAATGAAAATGTCCATTGTTTAGTTTTTTTTATATAAATTAGAAGTTCTGTTTGATAATGACTATATTAGTAAGTTAATGAAAATGAGCATTTTTTGAATATTAATGTTGTTGCAAGTATTTACTTTCCACGATCATTCTTATAATGATGCTTATTTTCAATTATTGCTCATGGTTATTTTATCATTACTATAATGAATTTTTCACATTTGTGTGATCGTTGTGTTTTTGTTTTTGTTTTTTTTTTGTTATATTTCTCGTGGTTCATTATGTTATTATAGTTAAAATAATGAATTTGTAAAATAATAGAATTGAGATTTATGTTATCCCTTCAAATCAAGATAGTAGTTACGCCATATAATGAAAATGTCCATTTTTCAACAGTTTTTTTTATATGAATTAGAAGTTCTATTTGATAATGATTATTTTCTTTTCACTCTTGTGTTTATTTTGTATGCTAATTATGATAATCATTATTGTAAATACCATTAATTGGCAGGTTCCGTATTTGGTGAAATGGAGGCATATGATGGCATCATTTCTACTATTGACGTTGTTACTCTTCAAATTCCGCCTGCTAATTAGCCTCGTTCGTTTCGCTGAATCGAGTTTAGAATTTGAGTTGAGATGTGATTTTATGTGAGAGTTTTTTACTGTAGTAAAAAAGTTAGATGTAATTATTTGTGAAAGCTTTTTACTGTAGCAAAATTCAAATTCTAAACTCGAATCAGCGAAACGAACGAGGCATATCAAGTTTTTTTGGACGGCAATTTGAGAGAATGGATTTTTTAAATTCCGTAAAATGAAAATTGCGTATTTGTCTCATTGAAACCAATTTTTGGGGTGATATTATTTAAAATAAAAAAAACTTTCCTTACTGATTATGGCAAGTTTCATTAAATTTTGTTTTCTGATTTCAATTTAAGATTGTGTTTCCAAAATTAGGTGTTTCATTATTTCTAACCTTTTTTCATGATATAAGATTAATAATGTCATTCTATATAGTATAGTAGATAGTTTTGTAAATAAATAAAAATAGTAGACATTTTTAGGCTCAAGGTCTTTAAGGTGGACATTTATGGATATAACCCAAATGTTTAACGTCCTAATACTTGGGGTATGTCTACTTATCATAGATGGGCAAGGGGAAAAAAAATCCAATTCATATATGTCTCTACTTACAAAATGAGTTGATGGGGCTCATGTGGCGTGTAGAAGGGAAAAGAAAATGTTATTCCTATATTATCGCGTAATATTATTTCATTTAGAAAAAATCACAACATTATTTTTGCGGCCTTACTAAATTTTAACTTTACAATTATATGCACAAGGATATTTTAATATTTAAGTTGATATTCCTGTTTTTCAAGTTAATAAACACTTAAAAATTTGAATTATTTTCTTTATTTTTCAACACTTTTTTTTTTCATTCTATGTCGTTACAAGTTAGTAAACATGCCATTAAGTTTTAATTAAAATTAAAAAAGATGCAATCATACCAAAACTAATACATTGGTCGTGAGTCTTGTGACTTGTGAGATGATAAGATTGCTCGCATTGTCTTAACAAAGTATGAGCATTATCGGTACTTTTTTTTTCCCGAGTAAATTACTTCAACCCTTTTAGTTTAGCAAAATAAATAAATAAAAAACAAAAGAAAAATGCGTTTAAATCGGAATAAAAGCGAAATCTAAACAAGACTGTAATGCTTGTATTGTAAAGTACACTAACACTTTTTTAATACAAGACGACAATAAACCCGCGACTTCCCACAAATCCCGCTGCACAATACCATGAGGTCTTAAACTAAATTAATTAATTAAGGATGCATTTAGTTCATATTATATTATATTATGTTATAGTATATAATATTGTATTGTATAGTTTTTATACGATACAGTGTTTAGTTTGTAATAAATTACATTATACTATCTTAATTATCATATTATACTTACATATTAGTTTATAATTGAACAAAATTTAAGTCTAATCATAATGTAGTTCGGTTTCAATCTCAATCTAACATTGGGAGCATGCAACAAAAAAGGTTGAGTTGTTCAACAGGGGTATATTTGATTTTTTTTAAACGGGTCAAATTGTAATCTTTAAAAATTTAAGGGATAAAATTATATTTTTTAAAAAGTTAAGTGGTCAAAATATAATTTTAAAAAAGTTAAAGGTCAAAATATAATTTTTAAAAAATTAAGAGATCAAAGTGTAATTTTTAAAAAATAAAGACCCAATGTCGTTTCGATTCCGTTTATTTACGTTTAGTTCATGGATTCAGAATCATGATTTAAAATTATTTTCGTTTTACGTATATTTTTTGTGAGAAAAAATACTGTAACGAGTCACGAATTATGATTCGAATCATAGCACGAATCTCCCTTCCAAACACAATGGCCAAAATTCGATCCAAACTATTAATATTTGTAAAATATTTTATAAAGTCAAATTCCATGATAATACTATTTAATACATAATTTTTTTTCATATTAAATATCACGCTATATATTGTATTAACAATTACGGAGTGTTTATAAAGTGTAAAAAACATATCCTAATATCAAAAGAAAAAGTAAACTAACCAATGGTCCAATACGATCCAACCAAAAAAAAAAGTAAACCAACAAAGAGAGAAGTAACTACAAAATACTCGTTTCGTCCGTACGATATGGTTTCTGGTTCACATGCGAGTGCGAGGTCATTCCCATTCCATTTGCTTCTTCTCTTCTCCTCCTTCAAACGACCATCGAAGCTTTTCCATTCCATGGCCTCTCGCGTGTCCTGTTGACCTCTTATCTCATACATGTAGCTAAGATTTTTCTTCAAACTTGACGAGAGAGAGAGAAAAAAAAATAATAAAATAAAAAAGAAGCTATAAATGGCAGATGTGTTTCGATTACCACTCCACTCGCTTCGCTTCTCTTCCTCTGTGCTCACCTCCTTCGCCTCTTCCTTCAATTCCCTCCAACCGGCTCTCCCTCTCAACGATAAGAGACTTCATCCTCTTTCCTATTCCTCCTCTTCTTCTTCTGTTGCTCGCCTAGCTTTCAGACGCAGAGACCACTTGCTCTCTTTCAAGGTAACATAATTTCATTTGTTTTGGACTTGCCCATCTCTGAATTTCGCCTTTTTATGCTTTAATTGGATTTGAATTGCGGTGTTTTCTCAAAATTCAAGTGAATTCAGGACCACCCATTTGCAGAAATTCGATTTATTATGCATTTTCATTACTTCAATTAGGGTATTTGGTTATTTACTTTGACAAACATCATTTTCTTGTTGAAGAATTTATATCTGATTTCTTAGTCCTATGGTAATAATTTGGTCCTCCGTGGGAGTTATTTGGTACTATGGTCTGTTTTTGTGGTGTGTTTGATGTTTATTTTATGTAGGGA